GTTCTCTATTACCCTGGCCTTTATTATCTATAAGTTTTATTTAGAATGCAAACAAGAATCCTGCATTTTATGCTTGTCACCAGACAATATTTTATTAATAAATTATTCATACGCATAGTTATTTTTGTTACACTTAAATACGGTTAAATTCCATGATGCCACTTGAAAAAATCAGTACCCTGGCTCTGGAGTGTCTGACACCGGTGTATTCAGTAGTGTCTGATTTTGTTTGCAGTAAAAACAATCGGTGCCTGCGACCGACACCGCGCTGTTTGTTTGTATTCGTTCGTTTTGTAGTAATATTGCGTATCACTGGGGGACCCTACACTTGTACAGGACGTATTTGTCATATCATTCTTTCATGTGTAGATATATTCAGATATATATAAAATTGCAGCTGTTTAATAAATCTTTTTTAGCTGTTAATTTTTTCTTTCAAGCAATTTTGTTCATTTGAATGGAAATTACACCAATAATCTAATAGGAGATATTAGTTTCAGTTTTATTTTTCTATTTTAGAAGAAGGAAGTATAATCTCATGGTGTATATGAATGTATGTATAGAAAAATAACGTAACCTTTTAGTTTTCCACTACTAGGAGTTTTTTTTAATGGTTATAACTTTGATCCCATCTTATCAGCTCTCGCTGCTGCACTAGCGACTGGTCGTTGCGCTAGTCGGTGTAACTGGAGTCATCGTCCTCGTCTTCGCGGACAGTGTCGTTTGTTGTTGTGGTAATGAAATAAAGACGGAGCGGTAAGAAAGTAGGAACGGAACTTTCACTGCCAGCGTATTTAGTATATAGCAACAGTGTATTCATTATGAAGTCGAATGCATTATGCATGCGACTTTATAATTACATCATCATCTAAATTACCACTATCTCTCCTAATTCTAACATAATTTCAGTATTTCGAGATTCGACCTTACGCATGATAAACCTCGGAAATCACTTTGTGACTTATGGTGACATATTCTTTTGGTGTTCATAGGTGCCGACTATCATAATGTAGAAACTCAACTTTTTTGCCAATCTAATTACATAAAAATTAATTAAACATGTTTTATTTTATATTAAATTCATAATATATTTTTATTATTTTTCAAATTTTAATTTGGGCGCGGGTCTAACAGAAGATCAGCGTTAGAAACTATGTCTCCAGCATTTTGCTGTATTGTGGTCCACATCGACTCTATTTTATAAAGTACCCACATTATTAAATTGTTGTTTATATTTTTTTAATATCATTATTGTTGTGTCCATATGAGTCAATAAATTATATTATTTTTTATGAAAAATGTCAGTATGTCTCGCAGTCTGTACAATCTGACTGTAGGTACAAGTAGAGCATCATCCTGTAAATTTCTACCTACCCATTACCACGGGGGGCATTCATTTGTTTATGTTATTACAGCGTATTTTGCCATACAAAAGAGGCCCAGTTGTTTATTTTATGCCAAATCACTACCCTCGCGAACTGGCGCAATGATATCTATCAAGTGCGCATATTTTATTAAAAAACATAGGGGAGTATTGGAGCGTTGATAATGGACTGTTTTATTTGTGATTACAGTACTTAATACTTCTTACTCTGCACCTTATAATATTAGTGTTAAGGTTGATAATATGGAGGTTTAATAAAAAATCGGTAACATATTTTTGTGAAGGATAATTGTGAAGTGTTTATTTTAACAAATTAAATGTTCAAGGCACTATAATAGTAATGTAAATGTTTGTTTATTAATTTATTATTATGACAAAATGTTGGGGTTCATCAGGGACCCAGTGGCTAGTAGATACGGCAATATAGACCAACTTTATTTATATAACTTCATTACTATGAAACAATTTTATAATGAAAAGACACTTTTAAAATCGTCCCGCCTCGTACCCTGTTCAAAGGTTTCCACAATTCCTTCCTTCTTTGTAGAGAAAACTCTATTTACAAAACTTTGCTAATATTAAAATAATGAAAATTATTGATATTTATAATTAAATGATTAGAAAATTACTAATTGAAATCGTCCTGTATCGTACTCGGGTATTGGGTAGCAGGATATCCGAGAGGAATTGCTAGAATAATCTTCCTTGCTTTTACATGCAATATAAAGAGATGATGATATAAGAGAGAGCTAGGAAGACTTATAGCTCTCTTACATCATCATATGTCAAAGACCATTAAAAAAAAACCTTTAATAATTTCATAACAGTCAAAATAATTTGATTTATTTGAGTACCTCTTGGTATTTTACTGGCTTGGATAACCTGGTCGTAATGAAATTTTTCACACGTATTTGAAAAGGATATACCTATAATTCTTTTCAACCACAAAGATATACAGAAGTCGATATGTGACATCATTAATTCTCATACGCAACTTTTTCTGGTTTGTGTTGTCGCCTCTTCCCGTTACGCGGTGCCGGTGCATGCATTGCGTTTGTGTTATCTGGTTGTTTAAATAATAGCTGAACATTTTTGGATGGAATTTTCATATTGATTTGAATTTCATATTGAATTGATGATAGACCGGCAATATTCAATTAAAAATATCTTATTTTAGTATGAAGTTGGTGTATGTATTAATAAAAAACTGAATGCATTTTAATATCTTTAATCATATATTTTTTAATTAAAATCTAATAGTCTCATAGTTACAATCGACTCAACTTTACAATGAATTTTCATTTACAAATAAACTTACATTATCCGTATATTACAATATCTATTCAAGATGTTACATTATTATATTTGGAATGCATTTACATAAATTAAATTGTTGATTTCTTCTCTGTAATTGCAATAACTCTGGTCTTGATATTACACAAGATATTTTAATAAAAACTAATAATACAGTGTAAGTAACAAAGTGGAATTAAAACCAAAGGAAGGTAGTTTAAAAGTAATATTCTATGGCAATTTATATAAATGCAATTATGGCCCTTTCACACCGGTCGACCGGACCGTTGCGATCTTCGTACCTATAAAGCGGATATTTACACTGGACAAATAAATATTTATCACTAATTTTTATTTTGAACGTGCTAATAAGTATATTATATTTTTATTTATAGTAAATTCGACGGAAAATATTTTTAAACAATACTATAATCAATATAAAAGCTTTTTTCTCTATTTGGAATGGCAACCCATCTGATAAACGGTAATCGTCGTCTACATTAACAAAACTACGGTTATCACGTTAGCACTTGTGATAATCATGTGTTGCCATTCTAGAGGACTAAGATGTCATGCCTCTTATCCGGTTATTTCAAATAAGAAGTTTGATACACTGAAATAATCCAAAGAAAGTTGAATATAATAATAAATAAAAAAAGTATTTTTTTATAATATAGGTACACATTATTCCTAGTATCGTGGACTATATATACAATTCTCTATTATTGAATAGTCGTTGTAATTTATTTTGGACTCGCTTCTAAATCCATAATAATATTAAAAGTTACTGTGATTGTTTTTTTTTTGAGTTATACAAAAACATTTTCACTATAAAAGGGAAAAGTAAAGACTATTTCATAATACTCTACTGTATTAGAGCCACAGAAATTACTGATTCACAGGTATATATACAAATAAATAAAATTGTCTGTTTGTAATTTCCAGTTAACACCTTTTCACTAAATGTATATGAAGGTATACATAAAAAAAAATTGTCACTCTGTCTGTCTGTTATTGCTATCTCTGAAACGGCTGGATCGATTTCGACGGGACTTTGACTCGCACATAGCTAATATTATAAAAAGTAACTTTAAGCAATTATAATTTTAGAAACTTTATTTTAATAAAATAATATTTAGACGAAGACGCAAGTAACAGCTAGGTAATCAATAAAAAAAACTCTGAGCATGATATAAAAATATCACAGTAACAAACATTCGTTAACTACTTAACTAATTAAAATACTATTTACATTGTATACATTATACTACGGGATATTTATCGTAACAATATTTATGAGGTCCCGATATATCGACGTCACAAGCATCCTAGTCACGGGGCGACAAACACATATTTTAGGGTATCGGTTTGGTACCATAAGAAAATAATAATAATAATAATAATCCTGAACAATTCACACAGCGTCATCTAGTCCCATGGTAAGCAAAGCTTGTAATATCTACCAGGTAACTAATATAAATACTTAGACATTTTTTATATAGAAATCATCCAGACTGATACAGATAATCTTACTTATAGATTAATTATATTATTAACCTGGTCTGACACGAATAATTTTATGGCAAATAAAGGTATTACTTGCCATAAAAATATTTGTGTTAAGACCAGGTTAATAAGGTTTAGCTCTCTCAACGTTTCATAATGTAAATAATATATATATTAAACAGAAAAGTTTAAAAATACCGTTTGTACCGTGCGAGGAATCGAACCCGCGACTTTCGATTTGATTTGAACAGTTTTCAGCAACAGATTATTATGATAAATATCCCATTTATATAATATGAGCTATTTACATCATGTAATTAATAGAATACTCACGTAACAACAATATATTGATTAAGTCTAGAACTACAAAGTGAAAATCAAAGAGGAACATTGGGAAATCACCAAAATATTGTGATCGTAACATAAAAAAAACAATATCACTGGTATACAAATTGTTTCCAGTACAATTTAAGTACTAGCAAATTATTTACATTCCTTGCTATACGATATATGTATAGTTATATATATTACGATATTCAATGAATTTCTTGTACTCATGTCTCAATCCATGGAATGCTAAGTGCGTCTCATTAAATTATTAGAAAAATATTACGTATCTATCAAGATTTCGACACTGCATGTGAATGGGTCTTTATTTAGATACATGTTATTGAATCATAGATACTGTAACTTATACGGGGACAGCTGTTTTTTGATACTATGAGCTGTAGAAGGAAATGTAATTAATGTGGTAGGTACACATATAAAACATAATTGAAAAAAAAAATAGATGAAATAACATAAGAAAAATCATCATTTTTATAAAAAGGGTAAAGAAATACGACTTTATAAACAAAACAGTTCATAATTGTAGTCATAATATTACGTTGTCAACATTTTCACAGCTTCTTTTCTCGTACAGTTTCATCGGTTTCAAAATGTGCTCCCAAACAAGCCACTTGTAGTGTAAACGTGCTTTATTATTAGAAAAACAGCAACAAAATCGCCATTGTCAACTCGCCCTAATAAAACAATACCTATAAAATTAACATATTCACAAATCAGTTCAAAATTAAGAATCCAACTATGCGTCAGGTCAAAATATGACTGTCAACGGCCTCCGAAATTCACTACCCTGCGCACCCTGGGTGTACTGCCCAGGATACTGAGGCATTAAGAGACTTGACGACCCCTGGTAATAAGGTAGCGATGGCGAAGGATTCGAACCTGATGACGTACTACCCTCAGCTCGATCCTGGTTCTTAGGTGTCACATCAGGAGATTCAGTTGGAGATCTGGGTGATAGACTAGATGGCGCAGAATTGACGGCCGAGCTTAATCCGGCCATTGCTGCCGCTGACGCTTCGGAGTACATCTTGCTTATGTCCATCGGATAGGACCTTTGTTGCTGTTGGTCCATGTACATGTAAGCTTTCGAGAGGGCAGCGGAGTCCAGGTATCCTCGAGATGGGTCAGGGTACATACCGTAGCTCCTATACTTTTCCGCGTCTATTGAATATTTAGACATGTCCATTGTTGAGCCCATCTGTAACAAAGATAGATCTACATTAGCTTCATATATTTTTATATACATTTGTATAATATACATTAAAAAATTATTAAAACCTCAAGCCTTTGCCTTTGTATTAAGTTTAGGAGTTAAATTAACAATTTACAATTAAAGTAGCAAATTGTAAGTACAAAACAAATAGACTTTCTCCCTCAAATAAATAACTACATATATCGTGCTTTTTCTATGAAATTGTATGTGTTCAGACCACGGGAAACCCTTCAATGTTTTTTTCATTCTACGTGATAACGATTCGAGATCTAATAATTCCTGAACATATAAAACGGTCAAATATACAATTCTTGATTATAATAATCTTGACTGTGATAATGGAACTATCAAGGTACATATCCTAGCAAACAAAAATTATAATTTTTAAAATGGGAATACACATACCTAGAAAAAACAAACAGTAAGTTAAAAAGAAATAAATCGCAGAAATACTAATAAAGGTAAAGATTAAAAAATTGAGAAATAAAATAAATAAGTAACAATAGAATGATTTATAAAATATTATCATATCATTCACGCTGACCATCGAATTAGTGAATAATATTCATTAGAATCAACATAAATAAATATTTTGAATGGTTCAAATGTCTAAATGATAATTTATTATAAACAATTTATCAACATAGTTTGAATGATGTCAAATCACCGCGTACATTTATTGTAATCAAATATATTAACAATATTTTACAAATAACATAATTCGTATCAAAATTGAATAAAATTTTCATTTGAATAGCATCAGAGAGTTTCTTTATAATTGTCATTAGATTTATGTCTTTAATGCCTCGTTATATGACATATAATGCGGTATGAAATGTGAGTACGTACATTTGTGTATTACGTGGTCGGAGTCACAAATCAAGTGTTACAAAGGGCTCGTATAATGGTTTTGAATGTGAAATTTTTAATGAAGTGGACCCTACACAATATTGTGAGGAAAATATCGTTGGACGATACATACGGCCAGATTGTTTGTACAATATGTACGTGGTCCAGCGACAAATAGGTATTTTTGAAGTATGACGCAAATGATTAGCCAAGTCTTTTTAAGTAGAGATATTTATTTTTATTTTCCGACACCGATCTTAAAAATTATTTTACCTTCATCACGCTACATTATCAGCGAGTAACACAGGTCGTATTAAATATAAGCAAGCAGCGACATGAGATACAACTACTTTACTAGAAAAATTATAATTAAACTACCTGTCCCGGTAAACGTTGTTTTGCCTTAAAATAAAAAAAAAATAGGGGTGGACTACCCCTAACATTTAGGGGGGTGAAAAATAGATGTGGCCGATTCTCAGACCTAGTCAATACGCTCACAAAATTTCATGAGAATCGGTCAAGCCGTTTCGGAGGAGTATGGGAACGAAAACTGTGACGAGAATTTTATATATAAGATAATGTCCACAAATAAATGGAAATTTCATGTTTTAATACTTCGATATTAGATATACCTATAAGATTTTTCAAATATAACGCCAGGAATTTTAAAATCCCTTCCACTCCCTTGTTTTTAAATATTAATTATGTGCTAGGAATTTTGGGACCCTTCTTATTCTCTTGCTACGTACTTTAAACGTGCGCTTAAAGAAAACTGTAATCGATTCGTCCAACATTCCAACATCGATCTTCGAACAATTAGCCAAACATGTTCGCCACTCACACAGCCGATATGCACCGAACATTATCGCCTAACGTACGGCCCGCGGTCACCACCAGCACGCTAAATCAGGATTAGGCGGACACGGCGACATTCAACTACACGGTTTACGGCCGTGCCCAATGCTGCCAACATACTTTATAGCATCCACAGACTAAATACTACATATAAACAGAGTGGGAGCTTGAGCACTGGCTCCTTCTTGAAACAAAATATTACAGTCTTCAAGTCACGAAAAAACTGTCTTCAAATCAAATTAAATATAATGTTTTGTGTGAATTGTCCTGTAAAGTACATGCCAAAAGCCAATGACAGTAGGTAAACGTGAACAACTTTCCCAAAGAAGCAATTTGGAAAATATTTTTAAAAACGTGTGTAATGACGTATGTATTAGGGACAGGTACATTACCGTGGTCGGTATATAAATCGTCTTTAGAATCGGGTCGGAATAGTTTTACTCTACTAGCTGCTCTGTCTCGCTTATTTTGTTGCTCTGGTTAACGTGATGTAAAAATATCGACATCGATAAAACGGATACTCGGATAAGCGACGTGTCCGCGATTTCACGGCGCATTACCGCCCGCCACTAATGAGTCGGGTAAGCAACCGTGAACCTCAATATGCGCCGTACATCAACATAATCGAATACAGAAACCACAATGGTTCGTTAATCGAAATGGCGAGCGCCCACAAACTATTCATCCGGTTCGATTTTAATGGCCAGTTACTGTGTGCGTTTTTAAATTGTTTTGTGAGCACAAATAATTGTTTGATGTAGGTAGATATAAAATGATCATGTTACCATGATTTATTCAGTGTCATAGCTGATTCAAATCTGGCTGACGCTAAAGAAAGTATTATAGTATAATATAAATAAAACTGATATAGGCATGTAATGGGTAGGAATGAAGATCATATCTTAAGAGACACCTTCCTTACATATGAATGTGGATGGTTAAAAGGGCAGAGAAAGACCGAAAAAGAAATGTGTGAACTGTGTGAAAGATGACATGGTAAGTTACGCAGTAGTCTAGTTAAATAATGAGTCTACTACGAACACATGAATGGAAGAGAAAAACATAAAACACACAAATAAATGGGATAAGGAAGAAGCAGATGATGAGTATAAAATAGTAATAAACCTGGAAGTTAATACCCGGGATTAATGTGTACTTGGATTATCTACTGAGTCTATATCTTGTCTAGCTTTAAGAACCGCTTTAACTAGTCGATGGTCCGCCAGATCATTATGGATGATAGGCTCGAATTAAGAAAAAAAACCCTACGGCGACGGAAACATTGATAACAAATCCAATTGTTTTGAGAGATGATTGAGGTTAGACAATGTACCATATTAGGTTGGGCTCCACGCGGTTTTCCCTGTAAACCATCGTGATAAATTCCTGGTGAATTTTCCACGATAGGCTAACTGACCTGACCTCATGCCTATCTTATCATCCTCCACTGGTGCCCCAGTAGCGTATACCGTTAGCGAAGACGGTTGCAGCATTATACAAAATAGAATTCTAGCTCGTTAAAACCTACCTAATCAGTGGGAGAGCTATAATTGTTTACAATTCTATTGTTTTCGATCACAATCATTATTTATAGTTCATTCATCAAACAAGACCATTCGAACCTCGCATCAAACTAACAAGCCTAAACCAACAATCGAATAAAATTTGAAACCAACCTAACCGCTTCTACATACTCAAAACTGTCCAATCATCGTTTTTAATACCACGTGAAATATTTACGTGTTAATACCACTGAATGGTAGCTGATTATATTGTTTCCAACGTTCAGGCTCCGATTCGATACGTTAATCGAAAAAAATGCGTTTTCATTCGATAGTTCGGTAGTCTATTAACTGCACAATGGATTTGATCGATCGCATGTCGCGGGCGATACTTTCCTTTTAATTAACAATTTACGATAGTGACGATCGAGATTGCGAATCGACTGATCGATTTGATGACGATCGCGATTGTTGTATTCGATATTGATGTACGATGTTTAAAATATTTTATCTTAATACGCAGTATTTCTCGCGTGAACTCGGTCAAAAAATACGTTACTTTTAATTAACATATGTAGAAAGATCTCTTTGATATTTCTTTCTATCAATCGTTTGAGTAATTTTTGTGAATTACCTACGATAAAATCGAATTATAATCAGCCTAAATAAAATATACTTCATTTATTTCGTCTTAGATGTGTAAATACATAATTCATTCATTAGTCATCTGTGGTGTGACTAGCCTTACTTTAAGACTAGCTGTGCCCGCGGTTTCGGCGTTAAATTTCAATAAACCATATAGTCTGTGTGTTATACTGATGCATAAGCTCTATTACTGTAAAGTTTCATCAAAATCCGTTCAGTAGTTTTTCGTGAAAGAGTAACAAACATCCATACTTACAGACTTTTGCATTTAATAAGATTTCTAATACATCATTCTGAGGGAAGGGATTGTTTATTATTTTATTATTGTATGAACTAATTATTTTTATTGCTAGCAATGTACCATGGTTGAGCTCCACGCGGTCAGGTCAGTTAGCCCATCGTGGAAAATTCCTGGTGAATATGTCAAAATGTGCTAACTGACCTGACCTCATTCTCATCTTATCATCTAAAATTAATGTAACAGGACCGCTGCAGCCAACATCAAAATTAGAATAGTTTGAAATAAAGGAAACTTACTATCAGGTTGTTTGTCATTCGTTAATTAGGTAATAGTAATCTTGCATATGTAATACAAAAGTGTACAGAAGGGTTAATATAAATCTTGCATATTTAATACAAAAGTGTACAAAACTCCATTGCTTCTTATTATGCTGTTTGTACCCATAATTGTATACCTAAATATATATTTAAAATGCTTGTACTAAATCAAACTATTGCTGAACGAAAATTCTATTAGGGCAACACTTGACATGACTTGGACAATTAAATCGCGCCCTCCGGGGACCTCCGGCCCTACATTTAAAAACTCCTCGATCTTTCCCCTAAGTTAGGGTTGTCACAGAAACTTAAAGATCCTGAAAAAATATACAGAAAATCTTTTCAGTGACTGAAAAATGTATATATTATTATTAATAAAAGGGGCCCAATTCTGTAACTGTGACCCTATATGTGAAGAAAGGTTCTTTCATAAGTTGGACCGATCGAGATTCGAATCCATTGCGCCACAAATATTTCGTCTCGTCGTTTTATTTACATAGTTTGTTCTGTATACTTATAGGACTTACTGAAAATGCTATCTATAAGAAGAATATCCTTGAATAGAAAAAAAACCCC